GACGCTCGAGCCAACACCTGAGCGAGGGACGAGTGGATCAAGCCGCGCATCAGCTCATGGATCTCGTCGGCCTCAAAATGGTCGTCCGTGCCGACCAGCTCCCGGAGCAACGCGCGAGGATCGGTCGCTCTCAGGGTGTAGGTGCCGAAAGCGCGAAGGCGAATCGGTCCGAATTCAGGGTCGCGCACCGGAATCGGATTGGGAGTACCCCATTTGAGGTCGACAATCTGACGCGTGTTAACGAAATAGACCTCGGATTTAAACGGGCTCTCAAAGCCGTGCCTCCAACCTTGGAGTCGGCTCAAGATCGGCACGTTGTCGGTCGTCAGTCGATGGTGTCCGGGCTCGAAAACATCCGCGAGCTCGCCGCGGTGCACCAAAACGGCCACTTGGCCGGGACGCACGATGAGCTGGGCACCGTTTTTGATTTCGTTGCGATATCTCGGAAAGCGCCACACCAAGGTGTCGCGGGTATGGTCGAGCCATTCGATGATGTCGACGACTTCGTGACGCAAGCTGTCAAATAATCCCATGGTGCCTCCTCTTCGTCGTCAATTCTACGGCAGGCGGAATCGCCTTATTCAGAAAAGACAAATCGAGGAGGTGGATGCCGTAATCGGCGAAAGGGAAACACATCGAGCATAAACGACACCACGCCGACGCTTTGTCCCTCGGTTAATGACCCAGGGGCAAGAGGTCGGCGTGGCCTAGGGGCGCCAAGCAAGAACAGTCTATTGGCGGTCGAGATCGCGGCCTATGACGACGGTCATATGGAAGACACAATCGTTTGGAAAACTTGCAGGTTTAGGGATACAGCCTTTGAGCGCTCCACTCTCCGCCGGGCTCCCGTTGATAAATCTTGCGATCGTGGAGACGGAACGCTCTGCCCTTCCAAATCTCAAAATAGTGGGGCACGACTCGAAATCCGGACCAATGCGGGGGGCGCGGCACGGGTCGTCCCAAATATCGGGCTTCCAATCCGGCCACGTCGGTGAGCAAGCGGGTCATTCCCGAAAGGGGACGGCTTTGCTTCGATGCCCAGGCTCCCAATTGGCTGGTACGCGGACGGGTGGCGAAATAAGCGTCGGCTTCTTGCTCGGTGACCGGCTCGGCGACCCCGGCGACACAAACTTGAGCGTGCAACGCGCGCCAAAAAAAGCTCAGGAAAACGTCTGGGCAGGCGG